ACACACACACACACACACACACACACACACACACACACACACACACACACACACACACACACAAAACAGTCGTAACTTGTTAAACAAATTCCAAATTATAAACTTTAAAGTCGTATAACTGGCTCATTTATCTTACTAAATATAAATATTTCAAGTTTTCWATGCTTTTTTATGATTTAAAGCCAATAGATTGAAAATATTTATGGCAGGACTGCATATCGCCCGTGGCATTTCAAAGAGTGTTTGATTGTCTTCTGCTCAGTAGCCGCTTTGGTCAGTCCCTGTTGATGACCTCACTCTCATGTGCAGGTTTGTGAGGTCTGTTGGAGCTCAAAGGGATGACTCTCAGCTACTGCCACCAGTCTAGGTTCAGTATCTGTAAAACTACCTGAGCTTCAGCCATTTCTCCATCCAGCTTTATTTTTTAATCGTCTTTTTCCTGTCCGGAGAGCTGGTGCCCTTATCCAGCAGTCACTGTGCAAGAGGCGGACTGCACCCTGAGCAGATCGTCCATCAATGGAAAACAACAAAAGAGACAAACAACCGTTCACACTTTCACCCACATCGAGGGACAATTTAGAGTTCTCGATTCACCCAACCTGTACGTTTTTGGTCTGTGGGAAGAAAACATACAATGATGAAATTTGTACTCTGCATTTGACATTTCACAGGAGAGAAGTGGGCGGCTATTTCAGAACCCGAGATTAGGAGACTTACCCAAGGACGCCAGGACCTGTGGTGGAGAAATTACTCAAACACTGTACTTAAGTAAAAGTACAGATAAACACACAAAAATGTACTCTAGTAAAAGTAAAAGTACCACATTAACATTTTTACTTAAATAAAAATAAGTATTTACTTTTAAAACTGCTTAAAGTATAAACATTAAAAGTACTTGCTTAATGTATTCTTAATAATCTACAATATAAAGTGTGCCTACTGTATGTATATTTTTAATGCATTAATGGTGCCATTTTAGTGAACACTGTTGCAGATAATGCATGTTTTTATGTTCCCCTCTGTGACACAGTTCACACTTGGACTTGTGCATCATCAGAGATTGTAACAACAGCTACATTCACCACCAACGTCCTTTATTAAAGCTCAACAAGTCATTTTTTGAACCAGTTAACTTGAATAAGTCTTTTAAATAAGGCCATGAGTGGTGCATTTCCTCTGTGGTAGAATCCATTCTGGGCGTGCTGCTGCTGCTGCTGCTGCTGCTGCTGCTGCTACAGCTGCTGCTGCTGCTGCTGCTGCTGCTGCTGCTGCTGCTACAGCTGCTGCTGCTGCTGCTGCTGCTGCTGCTGCTGCTGCTACAGCTGCTGCTGCTGC